CACAAGAGCTTCTGCTGTTCTTTATGATTCATTGATCAACCATGAAAGAACAAACAAATCAAATGCTTAGTGATTCTCTCCAGGAGACTGCAGGATCCTAAAGAACCTTAGACTTTGAGAGATGACAGTTTTTTTCAGAGATCCTGTACCCCAGTTTCTTCATCTTTCTACATGAGTAAGTCGATCTCAGAAAGGTGAAGTACTTTTTGTAAAGTCAACCAGCTAGATAGCAGTAGAGATTTGAACTCTTATTTTCCTTCTGGATGTGAGTCACCGTGGCAACATGTCTTGCACCAATTTCATGGATTTCTAAAGAAAACTACCTATATTACCAGGCAGGCCAAATCTAGCTTGCCGCTTGTTCTTACAAAGTTTGTAAATTGAGATACATTCATCCTCATTCACTCACATGCTGTTCATAGTTGCCTTTGCTCTTTTACAGTGGCAAAAGTCAAGAATTGTAATGCAATTCTGCAAAGCCTAAAATAGTTGCTATCTGTTCTTTCTCAGAAAAAGTTTGCCAATCCCTCTTGCCCATCAAGTCTGGTTGAAACTCCTTTTTGTTTTTATGCTTTTTATATCAGGTCTGACTATCAAAAGGTGAAGAAAGTAGGCTTGGGTAGGGGGTAGAGAAAGAGAAAGAAGAAAAAGAAAGAACTAACATTTCCTGATATCATTTGGGAAGACTTTATATATTATATGTTAAATGCCATCTCATTTAATTCTCCAAAATATGTCAGAAGACTGATATTTGAACCCTCACTTTGTAAATAAAACAGAGGTTCAGAGAGATTAAAAAACATTTTGCCCTAGTGGATGTCACTAAAGCTTAACAGAACTAGTTACATAAATTTCTGAAATCACAAACCTAACTGATTTCCTCTGTTTTCTGTCCACAAAAGTGAGGTTAATATACCCCCAGAATTTAGATGACAAAAAGCAATTATCCCATTTGCCCTGTGACTTATCTTCCTTTTCTTTCTTTCTTATAAAAATGTCACTGCCGCCATTAGGGACTTTGAACCCTGAAAGTTTAGTGGCCTCAGTTACCCATTATGTTAAATCTTTCCTACTTACTGTGTAGGAGGTGATGTTAGCCTAATATAACAGGTTTTAAAATATAGATCTGTATCCACACACAACCCTCATTCATTTTTTAAACTAGTTCCTGTGTCTTGCAATACAATAAAGTTAAATAAAGTACTTGACCTGAGTGGTCTTTTATTGGTTAGAAATTGCAATAATTCACTGTGGGTGAGAAAGCTAGTTATTGTTACATTATCCCTTAGGATAGATATCTTAAATTGATTCAGGCAAAATAGATGATATAGGAAGACTTTAACATATCCTGTACTATAATACTGATTGATTAGGACCTAACTGAAAGAGCGACAGAGAATTTAAGAAAGAGAAAGGCAAAGTTTAATGTCAAGTCAAACAATGAAATGATCTGCTACTATGAAGATGTTTAGAACTACAGTACCTTACTATCAAAGAGAAAAGCAACTAACAACAAATATAGATTTGACGAGAACATCTGAATGACACCGGAAAAACCTTAGCAAAATGTGGGCACCAGGTTAGCACTTGTGAGATGAGAAAGTGATTTAAACAATAGTGCAATCTACTTTTATAAGTCATTAAAATTAGAGGTGGAAAGGGAAGTTCTATTAATTGCCTTGAGCAGTATCTTTCTCCCACTACAAGATTAACAGAGCTGTTGCACAAAAGATATCTCAAGAAATTTAATTAACCATTCATTTAAACTTAAAGTGGTTAAGCTGCAATTAAATAAGCATCTTACATCCCAAGTTAGACTGGTCCTAACGAGCAAGCCTAAGTCTTGTTTTGAAGATCAGAATTGCCTTTTGTGACAACACTACCTTGCCAGTCTGTGCTCCCAATGGGGACAAAACACTTCAGAGTAAGGGTAAGAGCAGGCACAACAAACAGATGCGACACTCTCCAGAAGCCCTGTGAGTGGTTAAAAGTCACAGTCTGTCAGAAACAACAGAGGTGATCCTACTTCAGAAAGGTATTTGGACTTCAAGAAAGTTAAGACTCCTTTCCCAGACTCCTCGTACCCTTCTCATTGATAAGAGGTTAAGTTGGGCATTCATAAGAGGAAAAGGCGGAACAGCTGGTTGTGGGACGCTCCAGGGGCCACTGTGGTGCTTTCCGAAAGCCACTACATGCTTTTGTTTTCTAAACACCGCTGTCTCCCATTTCTCAGAGACCAACAAACTGGGATCTCCAGCACCATCTGTCCTTTCTGCTCAAATGATTGCTGAGATGCTGTTAGGTAAATACGTAGATGAGTGATCAGTTAATTCATAGAATTTAGAAGGGCAAAGCCATCCAATTTCCTCTTAAACACACTTTGCTCTGCTAATGTGAGGCAAATCCCTTCTCTGTAGGAGGAATAAATACAAATTGAGTATAAAAATTCACATTGTATTAGTTTGCTGATATATACATTTGCTTGTTTAGAAAATACAGCAAAGAGAAAATCATCAGAATACTTAACGTAAGTCATCTACAAATGCATCTTTACCTTCTCAAATCCTGTTTTGGGAGGAAGTCATGACGATTCTATCAATTCTATCGGCATTTACTTGTGGGCTTACTATGGGATAGGTCCTATATGATGTAAATAGTTACCACAGGCAAAATTCTTCCATGGTTTAATAGTTTGGGGGAAATTCTGAGTAAAACAAAGCTTCTTTATATGGGATTCCTAGCTTGTTTTTGGACAATGACAACATGCTTTGTGAATCTTTAAGTTGAAAGGAAGGAGATATGAAACAATGAAAAGATTAGTAGTCTAAAAAACACAGTTCAGGAAACAATGGCTCTGTTAGGGAAATTTCACCAGTGAAGACCTGAATTGAAATAACTTAAATTCTGTAAAAATTCCTGAAATGGGCCCTCCCCGGTGGCGCAGTGGGTTAAAGCACAGCACTGAGAATCTAAAGCCGCTTCTGCATGAGTTCGATTCCCGCCTGCCCCGGAGGAGACCACATGGCGTGGCAGACCTCTCCTGACCCGCCCGCTGCTCCCCTCAGCAGTGTGCTTCGTTGATCTGCCTGTTCTGCTCCCCACTCTGTCTCTGGTGAAGCCTCTCACCATCCCTGCACCTCTGACCTGTACCCCAGTTCTGTGTGCACAAATAAATAAATCTTTAAAAAAGAAAAAAAATTCCTGAAATGTTGCTACTCGCTCCTGGCTGCCCATGGCATCATCTAATGACTTTAAATTTGCCAGTGCCCAACACCCCCCACCACACACACACACACACACACACACACAGTCCAGCTAAATCAGGGTCTCTAAGGCTAAGATTTCTGATTTACAAAATGGAAATAAGGACATCTACCACACAGGTTTGTTCTGAAACACAAAGCAAACAATGCACAAAATTTCCTGTCTGGTGTCTGACACAAAGTTTAGTCTTTGAAAAAAAAAAAAAACTCATTCTGATGATAGCAGAGAATTCCAATTCAGAGATATACATAATACTATGAAGGTAGAAAAATAACTATTTGGCCACAACATTCATAATTTTTACATCCATGGTTGCTAAAAATAGGGAGTATATGTATCATGGGAAACAAGATGTATGTGTAGTCTCAAGGTATTTTTCTGTCATATATGTATTAATTGCAAAGGGGAAAATAGTAACTTTACAGTAGAGGAATCTGGCCGACTCGACATTAACCAAGTGATGAAAGGGAACCTCACCACTTCTGAAATGCATTAACATCATGTACCCCAGAATCTTTTGAAGTATTCCTGCCCAATATACTTTATCTGTGTTTACATATAAAGATAAGGAAACATCAGATAAATCCATATCAAAGGGCATTTTGTAAGATAATTGGTTGGTGTTCTTCAAAGTCAGGTCAATGTCATGAATGAAAGAAGACTGAGGAGCTTTTCCTGACTGGACAGAACTAAGGAACCATGATAACTATAAATACTCTGGGAGCCTGGATTAAATCAAGGTCTAATACAAGGGTATTAATGAGCAATTGATTGAAAGTCAATAAACTGTATGGAGACAATGCATTTTTAAATGTTGTTAACCTAATGTAATTAATTGTGCTATGATTATATGTTAACATTTGGGAATGATGGATAAAGGATAAATGAAGCTTTGTATTATTGTACCACATTTTTTGTAAATTTGAAACTTTTCCACAATGAAGAGTTAAATTAAAATAATAATAATTATGTTTCTTTACAGCTTCCCCATCTGGCACTATCAAGCTAATAGAATCAGTATCCAGGGTTTTTCTCCTTCCTTGGTATTTTGAATATGAGGGAAATAGTCCTCTGTAGGGCAGAGTTTATATTGAGAATAGTGTAAATGGGGCCCAAGATGCTCATTTTAACAAGTATGTTATATGCTTTTGATACATGTGTTCCCTAAGTACCAGGTTGGAGGATTTACTAGAAGAGGCAAAAACCAAAGAGACCCAGAAAAGTTGTGGGTAGTAGCCAAGATGGTGGTCAGGGGAGATTAGAAGCTGCTGGAAGGGAGTTTCAGAAATAATTATTGAATAAGGAGGCAGTGGAGACAGACAGCAGCTGTGGACAGAGAATGTCTCTGAAGGATATTAAGGACAGAGAATAGACAGAGAAGTTTACAGACATCTCATTGGCCTTGTCATGTTTGTTCTTCTTGGGCACCTGAATTAAAGACTTGACTTTTTCTAACTATTGTTGTTGTTGTTTGAATACTTTAGCTGAGACTCCTCTTTGAGGGGCTGAATGTAGTCCTGTTAGCCTAAGACACAGCCCAGATCGGGAGCCTTATTTGGAAGCAGATGACATTACATTTTTATCTGGTAGCCCTTTAGCCTTATGAGAAAAAAGTGGTTTGGCCCTGCAAACTAAATCCCCAACGATCAAACAAGAGGATGTAAATTCTCTGTAGATGGGCAGAAGAACTGAGGAGATTGTTGGGGTGTCGTGGCGGAGGGGCTACTCTGGGTGTATCAGGAATGGTCTCCACTTGTCATATCCGTTTGTTTTTTCCTAATCATTTTTAGGACTGGAAGCCAAAAGTGAATCTGAAGAGAAAAAAGGGATTGATGAAATGAGATTAGCGTCACTTCAAATGTAGATAGCCATACTGGCATAATTTTTCATTGTGCAACTACCAGTCCCAAGAAAAAATTACAAACGACTTTGAAATGGCCAGAAAAGGTTATCCTTGTGGGTCACCTCAGTTCCTCCTGCCTATAAGTTATTTTCTGGTTCTCTAAGTTGTAGATAATTGATAGCACCAATGCAAATGTCTCTTACTCATGACATGCAAATGAATTTCTCTTTATAGCGTATAATTGATCCTCCCATCTATCCTTGTGGGAAAAGCCAATTTTGTTTACATGAAGCAAATTCATGTTGGTTTTCTCAGTGATGCTTTGAATATGTGTCTTCTTTAAATTGTTTGTTGATCTGGTTAGAATTTCTTATGGGTTTTTAATAAATTAAATAAAATCCTGACAAGTATTCATTTTATGTCAATGAAAGTCATTATGTATAAATATGTATAGATATATATCCTATATTTATAACTTACATTTTTAATGCTGGGAAAAACAAATTCTTTGCAGTTTAGTAAGTTACAGCAGGTAGTTCCTTCTCTGTTACTGCTTTGACCTAGATAAATAACTCTTTGGGGGGCATTGTTCTTGATAGCCATTGCAGAGGTCTTTCTAGTAGTCTCTCTCTGATATGACCGAACACACTCATTTGATATCATTGTTTTGAAGGCTGTCTTGTAAAACCCTCTAGACCCACATTAAAATCACAAGGCACAGGCTTTACCCACATACATCTGTTAATTCCCCTCACACCCAAAGTCCTGTATATTGCTGGGGATACTAGACCTGATGTAAAATTGAAGAATGCTTTGAAAGCCCCTTCTCTGCTTGTCCTTCAAACTCAAAGCAAATGGTGTACGCTCATCTTGGCCTTACCTTGGTAAAATACAGATTCGGCTTTGCTTTTCCCACTGGCCACTTTGCTCGTTTCTTCAGCAGCTTCACATGCAGGTCTTCGACACGCTTCCTCTCCACACTTGGGTAGAAGGATGCCAACACCAGGATTTTAAGTTGTGTCAGGATAGAGGACAACAGCCCTAGCACCACTAACACCACAAGAATGATGCCGAGAGGAATCCAGGTCTTAGACAGAAGGAGTTTTGGTTTAGGGAGACAGTTGTATTCAAACAGAGATATATTGAAGGAAGAATCATGGATGATGTCTGAAGTTCCTTGTTCCTAAAATGAAAGCATAAGATCACTGAGATTATGCTATTTTCATGCCCAAGCCTTGCCCAGCAGTACATAGTATTTATCTGCAAATAAGGAACTATTTGCAATTTGGCCAAAGGAACTATTGCAATTTCTTTTGTGTGTTATGACCAGAGCGGAGAGAAAGGGCTGAGTTTCATTTGTAACTAGTGCAATGATTTCCAAAGTGGGTTTGTAGAAAGAGATTCCCTTGAGAAAAGAGTATCAAGTAAGTGTGTCTACTCTGTCCCTTCTTTGGAAAGTCACAACGCCCAAGAGATTGTTGAAAGGAAGGCAGAGAAAATATGTTTAACTTTACCCAGTGGTTCTTATTATTATTTTTATAGAACACCTGTTTCTACACTTTGGAGCACATGGGACTAGTGAAAGATGGGTTAGCTCACCAAGGGGATAAAACTTTTGGAGCAAAGTCCTGTAAGACCCAGTCATATCCTCCCTAGCTAACAAATACCCTGTCAGCAGACGGTAAGGAGACACATGAGGGCATGCTAAATTCTGTTATTAGTCAGTTTTCTAGAGTTGGGAGAAGAAGGATTATTCTTCTCAGTGCAAGAATAGTAAGAGTAATATTAACTGGAAGTGGCTCGAAAATCTTATTTGCAGAAGTCTTCAAAATAGGACCTTTTCTCTTCTCTCTTAGATGCCCAGGAGAGCTCGCTCCAACCTGCTTGAAGGCAAGATTAAGACGCAGTAGCCACAGCGGGCTACCCCACAGGGCAGAAGATGACATTGAGACACTAGTCCACCCTCCGGCAAGAGAAGCATGTGCTGACTCAGCTCTTTTTATTATTATTTTTTTTTCCTCTGACCTGAGAAAGTCATTTAATCTCTCGGTGGATTTGTTTTCTAATTTGGCAAAACAGGAATTAATGGACCAGATCCTGCCCATGAATAAACTACTCCCAGTGTAAATTAAGCACCTTGGGGATGGAGCATTAACCTTACAGACTGGAGTACTTAGTAAGTTATTATCACCCCAGCACCCCAGAGCCCTGGGACCAGAAAGAGATCAATGATTTCTCAAAAAGAACCCCAACACCGCCAGACACAATGTGCACCGTGGGTCTCCCCTCACACCTGTTACCAATCTGGGGACTGCAATATGGACCTCTCAGCAACGTCAGGTCAAGGCAGTAATTTCCCCAGCACGGCATTTAAGCCATGCAGAACATTTCTGTTGCCTCTCCTTTTCTTTTATTAAAAAGACAGTTTGGGCCCTCCCTGGTGGCGCAGCGGGTTAAAGCACTGCACTGAGAAGGTAAAGCCACTTCCGCATGAGTTCAATTCCCGCCTGCCCCGGAGGTGACCCACATGGCGCGGCAGACCTCTCCTGACCCGCCCGCTGCTCCCCTCAGCAGTGTACTTCGTCGATCTGACTGTTCTGCTCCCCACTCTGTCTCTGGTGAAGCCTCTCACTGCCCCTGAGCCTCTGGCCTGTACCTCAGTTCTGTATGTACAAATAAATAAAATCTTTAAAAAAAAAAAAAAGACAGTTTGACTACTATTAAATAGAGAGATTTTGGTCCCCAGAGCAAAAGCATGCGCTTTTTTTAATACTATTGAAAAAATAAACACATTGATAGAGGCAGCGATGAGAAATCCTGCAATAAGAATGCAGCGGGTGTGCGATCTGGAAGAAGTTATTTAGTCTAGGATTCTAGCTAGGGATTTTGTAGCTGGGAATCAGGGTTTCATAAAGGTTGAGTCAACATTTATGTATGGGACTGGTGGAGGCTAGTGTGGGAGACAAATGAATGCTTTCAAAAATGCCAAGCAATGTACTAAACGCCCCCCTGATGTTTTAAAATGTGTTTACTGCTCCTCCATAAGTGATTTACCAAGGCAGCTCTGAGTATGGACAGAGGACCCACCCTAGAGTTGGCCAGTCCTAAATAGTTAAGGTGGCCAAATGCTGTGCAAGTAATAGGTGCTCAATAAATAGCAGCAACTTTTATTTACAAAGTTCACCTATCCAACTAGTTTGATTCAATTTTCCCTCTTATATTTATTTAAAAATCACATAATTTTATAATATAATTTTTATAATGGGAGCTCAGGGCCCTCCCTGGTGGTGCAATGGGCTAAGCACAGCACTATGAAACTAGCCACAACCACTTCAGCACAGGTTCGATTCCTCACCAGGGAGGTGACCCACATGGCGCAGCAGACCTCTCATGACCCGTCCGTGGCTCCCCTCAGCAGTGTACTTCGTCAATCTGTCTATTCTGCTCCCCACTCTGTCTCTGGCAAAGTCTCTCACCACCCCTGCACCTCTGGCTTGTACGCCAGTTCTGTATGCATAAATAAATAAATCTTTTTTTTTTAAAGGGATCCCAGGATTGCCAAAGCCTTGAAGTGATGTGTTGCTTTCCACTTGGCTTCTTTGTAAATCTGCAGCTATGGAGACACTAGGAACCTCCTCAGCATCCGGGATAAGGTGGTCAGGAGGAGCCAGCTCCCGGCAGCTGTCTGGCAGGCTGGGCAGAGAAATCTGAGAGGAACCCCACACAGCAGGCTCAGGCTCTCATCTGCTCCAAGCACCCACCACCCTGCTGTGAGTGTGAGCAGAGCCCTCTCTGCCTGGACATGGGCCCTCAATGGCAGCACTCACCTTCTAGACGTTTCTGGACTGCCCCCTTTCCAACCACACCCAAACTGTACTTGGCACTAGAAAGTTCCTAGACCATTTTTTGGAAGGCAGAATGTACTTCTCCCCCCTTTTATCTCAAACTGTGAGAATTCACAAAATAAGCATGGGTGTTGGCTGAGAGAGAAATGTAGGGAGGGAAAACAAAAGGGTCCCTCCCTTTTGTAAAAGAGAAGAACTAAGAGCAGACCAACAAAGAGACCCATCTTCCTGGAGTCTGCTTGTTAGGTTTTCATTTGAAACACTGCTTCCATTCCACCCTGCTCCAGATAGCTAGAGCAACAGGGTTTTGTAATTAACTGAATTCTTCAGAGGAAGCAGAGTAATCAACTGAGAAGCAGAGCAGAATGAGGAGGGGCTGGAGCCGGAGGTACCTGCTGAGCCCGAAGAAAAGGAGAGGGAAAATGTGAATGCAGCAGGAGAGATAGGGATGTGGGGTTTCAAAGGAGTCTTCCAGGCACCCTTTCTGCCACATGCCCCCTCGGTTACCCCAAAAGACAGCACAGCCTATTGCAGCTCCTCGATGAGAAAGAGGGGGAATCAAATATGGAGGAAAGAACATCCTCGATGAGAAAGAGGGGGAATCAAATATGGAGGAAAGAACATTGGTATTTTCACCAGCCCAAGTCAGTGCATCCATCACAGGTGCAAGACACACACACACACACACACACACATGCATGTCCTACCTGTCCAGCGTCGCAATCTCTGAGTTAAAAAAAACCACCAGACAAGTATATAACTATATCCAGAGCCTCTGAATCATCCATGTCTTCACAAAGTTCCACAGGGAAAAATGGAAAGAGAAAATGGATCACATGAAAGCCACCACCCTCGCCCCAGGCACAGGGGAGAGGGAGTGGAGCAGAGAAAGGCACACTTCCAGGGACTCTGGGGGCTCCGGCCCAGAGAAACACTGATTTGGCTGGTTAGTATTTCTGTATTTCCAGCTGGCAGCCTTTAGGGGTTAAACTTCAGCTCTGCTCTCCAGGTGGTGGGTATAGAAGAGTAGGTCTCACTCTTGGCCACTTACTAGAACTATTTGGGGAGTTTTTAAAACTTCTTTACCCAAATCGAGTTACATCCAATGCCTTGGGGGGTTCAGAGAGAAGTCTTCATCTGAGGCTCCAAAGACCCTGCTCTCCAGACCCGAGCCTGAGTTTCCCAGGTACAGTAGGCTCCTCTGAAATCACACGGAGAGCTCATTAAAGGTGCACTCCCTTTCAAGGTAAAATGACTGTAAATGAAGGCTGGAGGCACTGTATTGACTGGGGAATTTTTAGCACAAGAACAAAACCAGTGACCAGAGCTGTCTAAAACCCAAAAGATAGCTGGCTCCACTTTTTTTTTTTTTTAATGTTTAGGTCTTCTTATTTTATTTTATTTTTTAAAAGATTTATGTATTTATGCATACAGAACTGGGGTACAGGCCAGAGGCACAGGGGCTGTGAGAGGATTCACCAGAGACAGAGCAGGGAGCAGAATAGGCTGACTGACCAAGTACACTGCTGAGGGGAGCAGTGGGAGGGTCAGGACAGGTCTGCCACGCCATGTGGGTCACCTCCAGGGTGGGGATCGAACTCATGCTGATGTGGCTTTTAGCTTCTTAGCACTGTGCTGTAACCTGCTGCATCACCAGAGAAGGCCCCTGGCTCCATGTTAAGGGGGGGTTTACCGAGGATGCCCACCAGCTGCATTATCTGGTTGCCGAAGAGTACTTTTTGATGACCACCTGCCCAAACACCCCACCGCTGCATGAGGTCTTCCTATGTTCGATAGGACCCAGGATGTAGAGAAAAGCAGACCTGTTCAGAGGTGCTCAGTGCCTACTTGCCTGAGTGTGAGGGAGAAAGGAGGCCAGGCCCTAAATCTGGCTTCTTGGGTTCATGCTTGAGACTCTTGTTTGAGAAGCAACATGGTATTCTATGCCAGAGACACCACTTTTCATGTTCCAGTGTTTGTGAGCTGTAAGAAGGTGAAAAATGCCCCCCCACCCCACCCCCCCGCTTGCCAAGATAGAATATCCAAATCCCTTCAACCTATTTTTGGGGAGGGAAGGATCTTTGTGGATGGAGAAATTGCCCTGGGGGCCCCTCACGTGGCTATAAGCATTTTTTAACAGGGAGGTGGAGTAAGATTTTACATCCACCAGTGAGAAGGGGGTGTGAGCACAGAAGCAAAGGTGTGGTGAAGTCACAAGCCGAGGAATGGCAAACACCAGAATGTGGAAGGAGCAAAGAATAGTTTCTCCCCTCACGGAACGGGGTGTTACCCAGCAAATACCTCCTGATGTCAGCCCCGCATCAGTGATCTCAGACTTCCCACCCTCAGAACATTAAGGAAATAAATATATTTCTGCTGTGAAGCACCCAGGAAATGAATACAGTGACCAGAGATTTTTGAACTACTGTAACCCTGGTGCTTCAATTTAACCAGCATCCACCTCGCTCCTCCTATGGGCCTGGTGCTGGGCCTGGCATGGGGGACCCAAAGAGGAGCAAAGCATGGCCGGCTGTGCCTTGGGGGCATCCTGATCCTTTGCAAGCCAAACCAGCAGATGGCAGGATGCTCCTCAGGAGAGAGCCGCGCGCGCCTACCTCTCTGTGCAGCTTCAGGTGAACCTCCAGCCCCGGCAATCTTTGGAAATGTTGGCTCACTGAGAAAATAAGTCGATACAGCAGGTAATCAATGGCCGCAAACAGCACCCAGATGCCTAGATGCGCTAGGATGGGGAAAAAAAAGAGCCCCAGGTTTTTCCTTTCTTTAGGAGTCAGCCAGAAAGACGGGATGATAACATATTTCTTCCTTTCCCTCTTGGTCAGTGGGAGGACACAGGGCCTCTCTCCCTGCCTCTCCCTGTCATCATACTGGATAAATTTTCTGGTGATATAGATGGTTTCAAACTTCAAACTGCAAGGGTTCAAAAACCGCTCCATGAAGAGGCCAGTGCTGAGCAGGAGCAGCAGAAGGCCCATGAGGCTGAGAAGCTGCCAGCCCACGGCGCAGAGCACCTCCGTGGTGGTCAGCATCTGGCACAGGGCTCCCAGGACCCTGCCTCTGGTGTCGTTGAGCTGTGTCTCCAGGGCCTGAGTGGGACTGGAGAGAGAGACATCCAGCCAATGCTTCCAAGAAACAAGGTCAGCAAATAGATTCAGGTGCATGGTAAGACCATGCAGCCACTGAATGGCTTCAATATATCCTTGCAAAAGTGGAAAATATATAGAGAGACTCTTGGCCTTTAAGTTGCAAGTCATACTGTCCAGGAGACCTCTAAAGTTGTTAAAAATATTTTCCACGTGTCCAAGGATGACCATCCCCATGCCAGCAGCCATCAAAGCTTTTCTGCCTTCCCGCAGGCCACAGGAGAGGAAGAAGAGCAGAAGGAAGCACCGTGCATTCTTGGAGAAGCACAGCAGAGCACAGGTAACCGTCCAGGAGAGGGTGAAGATGATGACTGGGGACAGAAACCAGTGGAGGGCCACAGCAAGGAGGCCTGATGAAATGGAAGCAACGACACAGCAGACTCCCAGATGTTGGATCAAGCCCAGCCAGCCAGTGCTTCTCGGAGACACATACATCACCCAAAGACGGCGGAAGATGTCAGTGCCTGAGGTCCAGATGCTCATGTTGTCTGTGTTCCTGGAAAGAGAAACCAGTGTCAGACTTCCCTTCTGAACGTCCTCTGTCACTTTGCGAAGGGCATGGTGTTGACGGGCTATAAAAACAACCATGCTCCTAATTCCTTGATGCTCTTGGTCTGCACACCGCTTACAACTCTTCCCACTCAGTGAGAGCAACAGAATGCACTTCGAGGTGGGGTCTAGTTCTCCAACCTGGAATTGGGTAGGTCTGGTGCTGTCTTAGCTCCTGTACACCAACCCGAGTCTGACTCCTGGGATCCAGCTACTGACTCTTTAGCATGTCCTGGTGTCCTTGCCTCCTACTGAGACTGTAGCAATTGCCTCAAACATTACGGCTTATAGAAATGCATATTTATTCCCTTACAGTTCGGAAGCTTTAAAATGGGTCCAGCGGGCTGTGATCCTTCAGAATCCATTTGCATCTTCTCAAGGCTGGACTTTCTTGGCTCCAGGACTCTCCTCCATCTCAAAGCCTGCCCTGATCTCTGCTTTCACCCTTCCATCTTCTCTCTCTGACTCTGGTTCTCCTACCTCCCTCTGCAAAGGACTCTAACTATACTGGGCCTACCCAGGTAAGTCAGGACAATGTCCCCATCTCAAGATTCCTAAATGAATTATATAAGTAGAGACTTTTTGACTATATACGGCAGCATATTCATAGGCTCAAGACTTTAGGACACAGACATACCTGGAGCTGGAAATTATTTAGCCTATCACATGTGATTGGGCAGCCAGGAGGCACAGGACCAGTCAATTTCACCAACTCAGCCAGGAGTCAGCCAACTGTCAGACAGCAAAGGAGGTCATTGTAGGCCAGCCAGTCCCCAATCAGTCCAAGCTGATCAAAGATCCTTGTCTACACTGAGGTGAAAAATGTGCAAAATAAAGAATGATACTATATATATATACATATATATATATATACATATATATATAATTAAAATAAAAAAAAATTTATTTAAAAAAATGTACCTGACTAGTAATAATAGCTGCTTACTTATTCTAATCCATTGAATTACCAGCTGTTAGGTAGCATGTATTCATTGATAAAAGCAGTGAGACTGTTTGATGGGTCTTTAGAGTAGAAACAAACCCTGAGCTGTAGACAGGCTAACATTTCAACGTACTGTGTAAGGTAGGATCAATTTTTCATGGTCATCTATTCTCTTGTTTTCTAATTTTACAGGTCAATAGGCACGCCAAGGGCACCCACATCTACCGTGGCACTGAACCGAGGTTGTTGTATCTTTGCTCTTCCCGGCCCTTCCCCTACCCCGTTCACTCCTGACAAGGAAAACAAGAATATTTTGTCATGGAGTTAATCATCTTTTCTTCTTTCCTAGATCTGGCATAATTAAAACTAGGGTGTGATGGGGCCGCCACCGCCTGTCAGTCATGCCAATTTACGTCCGCAACGTACTCAGAAGCCGCGGGATCCTTTGGAACAATATGAAATAAATTTGAGATTTTTCTGTCTTGATTGGCATGAAACTATCTAATGAGCTTTATACCATCTGTAGGGGATTTTAATGAAGACACTGATCAATTTTTAAACACTCTTAAATAAATCCCTTCACACATCCAATGTGACAGGGCTGGATTTGTGGAGTAGCTAGTTCAATACTGCGCCAGCCAGAGGAGGTCTCTCGAGGCTGAGGGGTCAGGGGCGAGCACGGCCAGGGCAGGCACAGAACCACCTAGCAATGGAGGTGAGGGAACCAGGCTCTTCCTGAGTGAGGTTAACAAAGGGCAGACAGGAGAGGGGGAACAGGCAGGCTAGGAACAAACTTGAGGCGATTTCTCCAGCAGTGATACGGAATGGAAATGCTCAGCGCAGAGAAGAGCGATGGAGAGTAGTTGAAGGGTCATTACTTTGTGGAACTGGCCTTTCCGGAGGCTGAGGATCGCACAGATGTTCTTACTCCACCAGAAGGAAAGGAAATGGGCATGGTTGTTAGGGTGAGGACCAGCAAGAGGATGCAGCTCCTTTTTCCTGCAAGCTTGCTTTCCTTTGAGACTCAGGGTGGGCTGGCGTGCGCACTTGTCTCAGCCACACCCCTATTGCTTCCTGACACCCCCACCCGCTGGCTGAATCCCTGGTGGGCCCCTGTGCTGCTGACCCTCCCCAGCACTGCCAGCCAGGATGGCTCCAGCAGTGAGCACAGCAGGCTGGCAGAACGCCAGCCCCTGCAGCTCTTCTTTCCTCCCAGGCATGTCCCCATTAGCTTTCTTTGTCATGACTTGGATTTGACCCTGAGTCATTATTTGACTAAATGATACACTAATAGGTATTAATTGCTTATTGTGTTTGAGGCACTTTACATAAAGCCTTTCTCTGCCTTCTCCCAGAAGCCTCTGGAGACAAACGGTCCATCTCACACAATGGACACTTGAGACTGTGGCTCCCGGTAATGTGTCAGCAACCAGAATGTCGGGGTGCTCTGGAATCCAGACCAGTCTCCCTGCCTCCCTGACCAGCTCCCCACCCCCATGCTGGTTATGTCATAGTCGCTGTGAATGTGCTGGAAACCTCACTTCTTCCCAGATAGAGAGTGGACTTGTATCTCACAATCCCATTTCTATCTGTTTTTTTCCCCCACTGTGTCAAAACAGTTGATCCTGTAAGGTTATGTCTCAAATCAGCATTTTCTGCAAAGCAAATCAGAAGACCCAGCTGTTTGTTTTTTTTTGTGTTTGTTTTTTTTTTCATATCCTTTATGGAGCACCATTTTGCTTGCTTCCTAAAAAATTAATAATGTCTACTTTGGATTCATCGTTTCTTTCTCTTGCCTTCATCCTTGTACAGTGTGTTCTTAACACAGATATTTCTCTAAAACTATGAGACAGATTTATGGGCACATTAAAATTTTAACATTCAGCAGTAAAATCAAGTATCAATTAAATAAGATCTATGACTGCAATTTTGTACAGTAAGAGGCACAGGTTTTCTTAACAAGCAACAGATCAAATGCCATCCTTTTGTTCTGTGCTGAAACAGCATGCCACCAAAAGACAGCAAAACTTTCTGCTAGTTTATAGCTCAAGCTAGAGAGCCCAGGGCTGGGCAGCTACTCTTCCCCTCGCTAAGCAAGGCCTTGATTTCTTCTTCAGCTGTTCTTCATATTCTTCATTTGAATGTAAAATCTGCCTGTGCTCTTTCTAGAAAAGTAAACAAGGGGTGTTATACCAAGCACTTTAAAACTTCTTGGAGATAAGGTGCCTAATAAATGCAACCCATTTCTTCCTGTTTCTTTGCTGCCATAGGATCAAGACTGCCCTTCCTCAGAAGATGTTTAAGCAATGATTGAAAGCCCCAAATGAAGGGAAAGCTTAAGAGACCGAGGCTGGATTCTGCCACCTTCTCAGCACTGGATTTTGCAGGCTGCCTTTAGATACTGACGATTCCTTGCTTCTTGCTCCTAGGGCAGCCCTTCGGCTTATCTTTCTCCAGAAATCCAGTTCTTCTCTGTTAGGAACATCAGTGAATCCGGAGTTGGATGAGACAGTTGCTTATTTATTTCCCAAAGCCTTTGCTATAGCAGATACCCAGATTCTTTATTTTTACTTTTAAAGCTAGAAGGGATCTGACAGACTAGAGATTTTGAGACTCAAGTATGTTAATTGGTACAGAATGCCATCTCCAGGTTCAGGGCCAGACAAGCATCATCAGGTGTGAAGGAAACCAGGAGATATAGATATATCTTGGGGCTCAGGAGAGTGGGGCAGTGATCAGTGAGCCTCTGGGATTCTGGGGACCCCACATCCCGGTTTAAGATGCAGCCTCCAGTCAAGGAGATTTTCTTTATAGACCCAGAGTGGCCAGATTTTCTGACTTTTTTCAAGAGATTTTTTTTTTTAAGTTGGCTCAAATTATCTCTAAAGATTCTGGCTGATTTTGGCCACTGGTTTTCAGCTTGCAACCCTTGGACTTTAGGGGAACCTAACTTCCTTTCCTCCTTATTCCTCTTCACCCATCTAGCGACTAACCCTCCCCTCACCCCCTCCACCCCCTTTTAGCTCCTGGAATGCTTTAAAATCATGCTGTCGGCCAGTGTCCAGTCATTTCCAGTCTCAGGCATAAAGGTTTTCCTCTATGTATCTGTATTTTATTCCTTTCTCTTGTGCTACTAGGTTGAGCTTCCTCTCCCACCACCTTTCTCCATCACTTCTTCTGCAGCTTCTAAAAGGTTTGACCTGCTATTTCTCTTTATTTTGCCTTCGTATCAGTAATCTTTATCACCTGATTCTACATCCTTGCCTCCCCAGGGTAGAGTCCTTGCTTCTTGCTTTTTACCAATAGCCGCACCACAAGAGTAATGACCACTTCCCTCCTTTGTCCCAAAACTACAGTTTGCACCACACCTCTAGCATGGCAAGCACAGCTGAGGGGGTTTATGGAGACCCAGCTTTCATTTAGGTTATTGTGTGACCGGGTGGGAGGAACTAGGGCAGCCACAGGGCTGTTGATGAGAAGGCCCCAGTGCAAGCCAGGAGCCATGCAAACCCTGCGGTCTGTGTTTCCTGTCTGCTTCCTTCCCACACTTACTGCTTTCACACAATTCTGAGCTGTTGCCATGGGAAACAGAAGCAGCCAGACTTCTCCATCCCCACACGCAATCTAGCACTGTGAGGTACACATGCAGGACCCTCAGTTGTTTCCCCTGGATGAGGTGTTAAATGTCAGATCAGCAGCACACAACTGGGCATGAAGGGCAGGGCCCCACCCCCTGTTCTACCCCAGAGCCCTCCTTATTCACTTGATTTCTTGGGGAGTCAAAAACCCACATTCCACATTAGAGTACAGATGCAAGATGCAGATGAACTGTCAAGGAAAGCTTCTACTGCACACTGGATCCCCATTACAGGGTGCATGCAGGATTCTCGTAATACCTTTCAGCCAAATTTAGAAGCTATTCTTGGGAGCTTATGAAGAGGGTCTGAGAAGCTGTCTGTTTCAAACACTTGGTTTCCCTTAAATCTGATTT